TCTGTATCTTTTGATAGCTGGGCATCATCAGCTTTCTTCACCACATTTGCTTGTGCACCCGTTGTCTTCAGCAATTGTGCCAGGAAGGTGAGCATCTCAGACTGCCGAATTGTTAGAACAAAGTGTTCTTGTGTTGAGGGAGTACTTGATAGGGGCCCACTGTCCATCTGTTTCCTTAATACTAAACCTATAAGTATATGTACATTTATTTCCCCCTTGTATATAAATACATTTACATCTGTGTATGCCTGTATTTAGATGTCTATAAGTGCCCTTTGCCTCCTAGTTCTTTCTTCTATTTCTTTGTACTTTCCTCTTGTCCCACTATCATGTTCACTCTTTATTTGGGTTTCAGGAATTCCTCTTGATTACATTGTCCTTGATTCAGCCCTGCCAGACCTCATAAACCCCCCTTGCCACAGATTTTGGATCATTTGTTGTTCCCTTGTCCCTGGATTTGTTAACACTCACTTCCTTTTCCCTGCCTCCCGATCTCCCATGTCCTCCCAGAACTGTAATCCCGTTGTTCTCTCTTCTGACTTGTTTATCCCGCCTATCCCTTCCAGGTAGACATGCAGCGACAACAATATGCACCAACACAAGACTGAGTATAACGAAGCAACAGTAGAAAATAAAACAATAGCTACAACAACAACAACAAAAATAACCTTATAAATAGTTCAAGGTCTATTTGTTGTCTTTTATGAGTGCTTTCCAGTCGAGTCTGATAGGGTGCCATGCCCTGGCCCCACATCTATCCCTGGCATTCCCTGGGGACTTCATTGCTCTGCTGCCCCTGCTGCTCTGCTGCACGCCCCCAGTGGTTGGCTTCAGCGTAGTAGGCTTAGGGCGGGCAAAGTTCCTGCCGCTGTGTGTCTCCATGTTGTCCCCCATGGTGCTATGGGTCAGTGAGGAACGCTGTGTCTCCTGGTGAGGCCGGCCCTTTGCTCATCTCTGTGCCTTGCTGCTCTGAGCAGAAACATTGTCCTCAGGGATTGATGAGCCAGGATGTGCTTCACTTTTTTTTTCCCCCTTCCCCCCTCATTGGCCCCTTAGTGCTCTGATCAGACAAGTCCCTCTCCTTGAGCTGTAGCTTCAGTGCTGTCCTCTGAAGCGAATTCTTCTGTGTGGTGGGAGGGTGTTGCTGTTGACTTAGTTGTTAATGGGGCCGGCCCCAAATAACTCTCTTATCCTCAATCTACACCTATTATTGAATGTTGTATTTGTTTTCAATTTTAAGATCGATGTTGTCTTATAGGATGAATATATCCTTCACAATGGTCCTTTTTCTTTATTTAATTTCTACCTTGATATATACTTATGTTCCATAGAATGATAATTTACAATATTAAAATCATGATGTTCTTAGTATAATTCAAATAGCTGAAGGCTAATGAATGCAATATAGTACTCTGGTAAATGAATTTAGCTGTTTTTAGCTCTGTTTAAAAGGATGATTCCAGTTTCCTGATAAAATATTTGAATAATCACATTTTTACTGTAGTCTCAGAAGCCCAGAGACATTTCTGTTCTGTCCTGTACATTGCTATAAGTTGGAATATACACCATGTCAGTGAGTTTTTAAATACTTGATTCTAGTATGATCAGTGTACCCTTAAATACTGAACATTCTTTTGTACAAATAGCAACAAACAGTAATTCCATTTTGGTGTTAAAAATCTTAGTGCATTTTTTACTTTATCCACATCAATTCCCTTCCCTTATTTTTAAACAAAAGATTATTTGGCTACTCTACTATGACACATCTCAGTCAGTTACAATTTCAGCAACTTATAAATGGACAGAATTGAATTTGTTGTACTAGTTTCTAGTTCTGTTTGTGTTATCTTGGAAATAAGCTTGGAGTTTTTGCTTAAGAATAGCATATTCTGTCTCTTTTCTAAATGTATAATGTAAGAGTTCCTCTAATAAGATGTATTGTTTGGATTTCTAAATTAACATATACAGCTCCAAATAGATCATCGTGAATTTAATATTATCTTTCATTGTGTTGAGGGAGAAGAAGACCAGGTCTTTAAAGTTTTTGCTAAGTAAAACCTTTTCTTATTTAGAAATTATTTTATTACAACAGGAACTAGATTACTCTAAGGTTTAGCCATCTGTTTTTTTTATTGCTAAAGGCAAATAAAAAGGAAAATTTAATCTTGCATTTTAAATTTTAAAGTTATTGTGTAGTCTTTAGTTGTATAATCTTCTGCGTTCCTATTAGTGGTAGCCAGGAAACTTTGTGTCTGTGAAATGTTGTCTTGATGGCCTCAGGGTAGTGTCCAAGCAGATAGCCCTGCAGTATGAAATTTAAAACTCTGAATGTTCAACACTATAAAAAACAGAACATTTGAATTTAAAATAGATTAGAAATTTAATCTGTAAACCAAAAAACGAAAAGATAGCCTTACAGAAAAATAAGAATTATAAACAGATCTAGAGAATATTCAAGTTTAGTGCAGAGAGGAAAATCAATTTCAAAGCGCTAAGATACTATTTCCTACCCTCAGACGCCAAACATTAAAAATGATAATTTGTGCTTTGAGGGATTCAGGACATCTGATAGTAGTTTTGTTCCTGGGAATATTCTTGGTTACAGCCTTTGTATGCAATAAATTCAATATATTGATTTGCATTAAAATATGTATGTGTGTTTTGACTCACCAATGATATCCTTAGGCCTCTGGACTGTAGAAATAATTGTACCTATGTATCGAACCTGTTAAATAACATATTTACTATGAAATCAAGTCATATGATTAAGAAACATTTCTTTTATAGACTATTGTGATAAAATCAGTTTATTTATACTGAGAAAAACATGTATTGTGCTATGAAAAAAAATTGCTGTTTAGCATGGATGGAGCTTTTGTAAAGCAACACTATCTAGAAATGTTACTTCCAAATGAATGTTAAGAGTCAATATTGATTAACCTTTCTGAATTTTAGACTGGGCATTTAGCTATGGAGACCTTACTGTCCCTTACTTCCAAGCGAGCAGGAGACTGGTTTAAAGAAGAACTACGCCTTCTGGGTGGCTTGGACCACATTGTAGATAAAGGTAGGGCATGCACACGTGTAGCATACATATCTCTCTACCAACTATACATGTATATAACAGCTCTCTATTGTAGATGATGTGAGGGTTTACATTTCAGATCATCCACTCGGTGTTCAACATTTCAGACTACTAACCAAACCTCCCAGTAGTTTACCCACCAACTGTTCCTTGTACACGCATAACTTGATAATATACACCTTTTATATGACTCAAAAAGATAAATGTTTCCGTTGGTAAGCAAGGCTCTAACCTTTAAATACAAGACCACTAACACTTTTATAGTAGAAGTTATGGGAATAAAATAATTATAAAGAAAAATCACATTTCAGTATTTCATAGGTAAAAACTGAAAATAATGTTCAGAGAGATGCCAGCATACTTTAAGCATTGGTATAAAGCTTATGAGCTAATTGGTAAATATTTAAACAATAAGATATTCTGCCTTATGCTTATCTTTCTTTCCTTAGTAAAAGAATGTGTAGATCATCTAAGTAGAGATGAGGATGAAGAGAAATTAGTAGCCTCGTTATGGGGAGCAGAGAGATGTTTACGAGTTTTAGAAAGTGTAAGTACGAACATCTATTTGGGTGAATAATTTCAAGTGTGAGTTATGTGTGTTTGTGTGTGTGACTACTATAAATGTTGTATTATTTACCCCTAATGTTAGACTACTGAGAATGCAAGTTGAAATTGCTGTGCAGTCTTTGGATAATGAGATGTTAATGAACAAGTTGAATAGTTCCATATTTTAAGAACATGTATTGTAGTGATTTATACTCATACCCGTATTCACCAAACAAACCCTACACATCACATTTGTTTTTATGTGCCAAGTTTTCTTGTCCTTTCATTAATGCAACAGCCTTAAATAAATTAACTTATTTGAGTGGGGGTGGAATAGTTAAATGCTGTCAGGTCCCCTCTTCAGCATGACCCCACCCCCCAAAGAATAAGCATTTTCTTTACTTAACTGTTCATTGATAAGATAAACTTATTTTTGTCTTTAGAGAATGATGCTTTTGAGCTATAGTAATTTAAAATATTTTCTAGCTTTAATGAATAAATGCATGACTTAACTGTTTAACAACAGTTACTATAGTTTAGAATTTATGCTGCTACTGAGTTTCAGGATGTATAGTTTTTGTTGTCGATTGGATTATCTGTGTACTTTAAGTAGAGTAATTCTGCATTCCTGGTTTGAATGAAATTGTAATGCTTTATCCCTTTTAGAGTACTTATTAAAGAGGTATTCTTTCTGAAAGAATGAATTCGCTTGTGAACTAAAAGTATTGGTTTTATAAGTTGAGGGTTATTCATTTTTGACACATTGCTTGGTATTTAATTTTTGGGAATATATATTATAGAATACACTAATATAATAAGTAATTATAGAAGTGATGGTTTAATTCTGGTATAAAGCAATAGCTATACTGTCTTAAATATGGAACGTGTGTATTATCAAATTATTTCCTTAGCTGATAATACCTGTTCTTTTTACATTTTTCTATCCTTTGAAGTACCAGGCATAGTGTCTTGTACATGGGTGAGTGCGTGAATGTTATGGATCACCACAATTATACCAGAGAAGTAGTGTTTACTGTTTTCTTTTATTACTTTTAGGTAACAGTGCATAATCCAGAGAATCAAAGCTACTTGATAGCATATAAAGACTCACAACTTATTGTTTCGTCAGCTAAGTAAGTTTTTCTAAAGTTACATGTTATTTTTAAAAGTTGGAATGACCACAGAGAAAATAGATTGTGTCATCTTTCATTGACATTTCCATCTATCATGCTCTGTGTATCAAAGGCAGTACAGTATAGTACAGTGGGTAGGAGCACAGATTGTGGAGCCAGTGTAATGGGCTACGGCATACCTCAACTTCATAACAGTAGGTATATAGTAACACTTGCGTGCTAGACGTTTTTCAAATGTAGTAGGGAGCCCCAATGGTGTAATGGTTAAGCATTGGCCTGCTAACCACAAGGTCAGAAATTCAAAACCACCAGCCCTCTGTGCGAGAAAGATGGACTTTCTCCTCCTTTCATTAGTTACTTACAGTATTGAAACCCACAGGGGTAGTTCTACACTGCCATATAGGGTCCCTATGACTTGGAATCAACTTGATGGCAGATTGGGGGGTGTGTGTGTGTGTGTGTGTGTGTGTGTATACACACATATACATACTATTTAAATGAATGATATAGAGCTATCACTATTACATATTTATACCTAATTGGAAAATACGAATTACATATTTTAGCATTTATCAACTGAGTTATTGTTACAATAGCCCCAGGGAAATCGATAGAATTACTACTTCTCAGCTCCTCTGTAGAAAGACAAGGTTTTCTACTCCCATAAAGAGTTAGTCTTGGAAACTCACAGGGGCAATTCCACCCCGGTTTATAGGGCCACTATGGGTCAGAATTTACTCAATGGCAGTGAGTTTGGTTTTGAGTATTTAATATCTAAATGAGTTAATACTGGGGTAAATAAAGTATTCTTATTTGGGTTCCATTTTCTCCATGCATGGGATTATTCCAAACAAAATGCCTTAAAATATATGGCTGCAGTCAGTGGATGGCTACAGACAAGTTTTCTCAGTAATACATTTGCCTTAGTTTCATTAAGGCTCTTCAAAAAATTTTTAATCTAAACAGTGTCTTCAAGGGGAACGGCCAGTTAAATTCAAGGCAAAGAGGTCAGCTCAGAAGATTATGGTGCCTGCTCTTTTGTAATTTTGATAGATTTTCATAAAGGACACTGGACAAACTCATTAGGAAGGAGTTTAAAGAAAATTGAAAACTGCAATGATGAGGAAAAGGCCAGGAATGTTGTGCCAAGGCATTGTTTTCATGACCTGCCCATTTCCCACGGGTAGTAAGGGCTGTTCCTATGAGACTTTCATTGGTAAACCTCACCCTGTCTACTTGTTAGCCCTGATTTTGCCCAACCCCATCACCACCCCCCAAAAAATGAGAAAAAATAGGATTTTAGTCCCTTGAGGATGCTACAACCTCTGTTTTGACATGCATTTGTATGGTTGTAAATTGAAGACTGTAGAATTCAGGGAAAGGGGACAGAGGTGGCAATATGATCTTCAGTAGTTGTTGGTAGGCACCATTGAGTAGGTGCTAACCCATGGCGACCTTGTGCACAACAGGCGGAGACACTGCCCAGTCCTGCTCCATCCTCACAAATGTTCGCGTGCTTGAGCCCATTGTTGCAGCGACACTGTCAGTACAGCTTCTTGAGGGCTGTCCTCTTTGTAGATTCCCCTCGACTTGCAAGCATCATGCCCTTCTCCAGGGATTGGTATGGACTTTTGATGGGGGATTTTGTTAAAAGGCAATAGTTTCACATTTTGATATCTTAGTTTAATAAATGTTTCTGATTTTTTGTAGCAATGCTTTTTGACTTGACCTTGGCTATCTGAAGCCTAGACTGGTGGTTAGCTTATTGTGAAACATAGCACTGCGCATTGTGTTCTTCGTGTGCTCCTCCAGCTCTCGTCCCTGCCCGTTATTTGCAACCTATTTCCACAAATCTGTAGATGACTTTCCCCACACACCCCCCCATCTGTCAACATACATGGCACACGAATGCTTTTGCCTTGATGCATGTAACATTGTCAGTGTCTCAGATCCTGATTCTAAGTACAACAGCATCTTCCTGTTATTTTTAAATTTTAATTAATTAATTTAAGTATCTTCCTGTTATTGCTGTCCTAATTGTCTGACCTCTTTCCAACACATTGCTACGAGGAATTAACCTTCCCGATTATCTCTGGCTTATTAAAATTAGCCTCAAAGTTCAAATTGCTGTGATTACTTGCCGTCTTTGGATATAAGAGGGAGCTTCAAAAAGTTGATGGAAAAAAATCCGTTATCTCTTAATTTCTTTTTTCTGTGAACTTTTTGAAGACCCGTTGTATTACTATATGTTTTAGTGCGAGTTAAGGGCCCAGAGCAGTTTTTCTCTCAATTTGCTAACTAATTGAATCCTGACTTACAGTGACCCTATATATGGTTTCTGAGGCTCCTGAAGAGCCAGCTGATAGGTTTGAATCACCAACCTTGTGGGTAGTCCAGCGCTCACCTGAAAGTACTATTATGGCTCCTTATTAATAATTAAGAAAAAGGCTGTGAAAATTTGAGGAACGTGGTAGAATTTCTTACATATGTTGTAAGGACAAGGATGGAGTAGACTAAGTGGTATGGTTTTTGTTAATGGTTTTGTGTCATATATGTGTGCACATATATATATAATATATAAAGAATGAGCTAACAGTCTGGTTTACTTAATGTTATACTTTAAATATATATATATATTAATGGAGTTGGTTTTAAAAAGAGTCTTCAGGAATACTTGCCCCATTTAAGGATTGAGTTTGTTATTTTGCATAGCATCCTGAGAGTCATTGCATGTGCTTGCTACTTTTGTATGACTGCCAGAAGATCGTCAGTTATGACCCTATGTTAACAAATAAGACTTCCTTGATATGACATCCCCA